TCAGGTAATAAAGCTACCTTTGTCAACAGAATCAGAGTAGAAGTATTAGATATAACTATACATATGTTCAGAAGAGCTTATAAACGAAATTCAGGATTGGAGAGTTTCGGATGAGCACTTGTTACATGACAGGATGCAAGGGTAGTATTTATACCTAAAACAGGGAAACCTAGCTATGCGACACCTAAGTCCTATCGACCGATAAGTCTTACGTCCTTCCTACTTAAAACCTTGGAACGGATAGTCAATAGTATTGTTAAAAGCAGTATACCAGACAAAGACCTTAAATATAAGCAGCATGCTTATGTAAAGGGACGGTCGGTGGAAACCGCTTTAAACGAAGTTGTCCACTACATAGGTGCATTCTTTGATAGCAAACTGTATATACTGGCGGTATTGACATCGAAGGCGCCTTCAATAACGTGCACACTGATACTCTTATCCAATCTCTAGATCAGTTTTATTTTGACCGGGTGCAACGTAACTGGATCAACCACATGCTAAGGAACAGATGGATAAGCTGCGAGATGTACGATATAACTATCAGGAAAAAGGTATTTCGCGGTATACCACAGGCTGACATTTTGTCACCTTTACTCTGGGTTACCACGATTAATAGCCTCCTAAGGACCTTAACCGAGAATGGACCTAGAAAGACAAAAATTTCACCATATGCTGAACATTGCTTCCTGGGCAAAAGATACCAGTGAAAGACAAAGTTAAGAACTTAGGTGTAATCCTCAACCGGAAATTAAAATGGAGACACCACATAGAGTATAGGATCAATAAGGCACATCGGTGCTGGGCGATATGTAGGAGAACTATAGGCATGAAATGGGGTCTTAGTCTTACTATGACAAATTGGCTTTATAAAAGTGTAATTAGATCAATTCTAGCTTATGCTAGAACTACTACAGGGAGTTCAGCGTACATGCAGCTTGGGTATAAGAGATGCCATGTGTACTACTTCAACCAATGCTCCGGATATGAGGCGGCGCTTACAGCCGAACGGCTCTTTACTGGCCAAAGGCGGTTATAGGACACGCATTAGAGCAAATACCAGAAGGAATCCGTTGTTGCACGGATGGCTCTAAATTGGGGGATAAAGTGGGGCTGGGGTTTTTTGTTAGGTTTTCAGGTGAGCAAAAAACTGTTATTTTTTGTAATTTCGCGAACTACATTTATAGTTATATGTTTCGTGCCACCCTAAGCCCATTTGCTACAAAAGTGTTGTAAATAAATTCCAAAATGGTTCGCAATTTCTGATCTATAATTAAATATTTAATAATAGCTACACATAACCGGTTTTGTTTCAAGCATTTTGGAGCAAAATATTTTTAAATTTGGATATTGGATGTATGACCAATAAAGGCATTAAATAAATTAAATTTTCACATTACTGTTTTTGTCGGAGCAACGACGATATGTATGTATATTAAGAAAGCCATCTAACTGTCATCACATTTTAAAAGATACACTAGTTTACAAATGAATACTATTTGTTTACTCGTGGAATGAAATATACACTATCGGACAAAATAAAGTGCAAAAGTACTCATGTATATTCTTTCAGCGAAAAATCGGTTAAATGATTATTGAATATGGAATTTTTTTTCAAAATCATTTAGTTTATATACAATGCTACAAAAATAACAATAAAACTAAATTATTCTACTTAAAATTTTTCTGCATAACATTTAAAATTAAAATAAATTCACTTTTTTGTCGGATAAAATAAAGTGTAAATTTTATATATCATTATTTAAATTTCTTGTATATCAAAATTTTTTATCTATTTTGGTTCTGATTTTAATATCTGTATCTATTTAAGCCATTTTGGTAATTTTGTTCTCCATTATTATTCGCAATCGCTTTCCCTTCCCCTTGATATCCCCATATGATAATTTTCAAAAGAAATACGTTTTTGATCACTATTTCATCGGAATTTTTTGATCAATTGTGGTCCAAAATTAATCTATTGGATTTAGGGCGGTGCTCTGAGCAACTTATTTCAATTTTCAGTGATTTTTCCTACAGTAATGTTATTTTTTAACTTTATCAAGTGCTTAAGCTTATTATCTTGCCGAAATATAAAGTTGCCCAAGTCCATTTCGAAGGCACTGATCTTAAGATTTCACTGCAATATGCTCATATAGTGTTCATTGGAGCTTTTTGAATAAATTTCACCTAGGTTCCCCACACCTAACGTTAAAAATTGGACACTTACGAAGAATCAACTAACCCATACCTTCAATCTTACCTTCCAACATATTTAAAAGCTTAAAGTTTTTTTTCGATTTTAGTATTTAATTTCATATTTTTTAGATCAAATTTACGTAGTTGGTCAGATGAGCCCCAATTTCTACCGAAAATTTTGAAATGTCGACAATGAGTGTGAATTAAGCCCTTCAATATACAAAATTTAAAAAACAATACCCCAGGTTTCAAATATTATGGTGGAGGGCTATCGGTATTGTTACATTATTCAACTTTAAGAGCGAGAATCTTAGTGAAAATGGAGTAACTAATAACAAATGAGCAATTCACGAGCTTATTTAATAAAAATTTGGAAATAAATGCCGTAAAAATGGGTTTGGGAGACTTAATGCCTCAACCGATTCATGACTTCAAACACACGACTAAGGTTAAAAACATTATTGTAAAAAAAAAAAAAACACTGAAAAATTTGAATGACCTGCTCAGAGCATCGCCCTAAATCTAATAGATTAATATTTGACCACAATTGATCACAAAATTCCGCTGAAATAGCGAACAAAAACGGATTTCTTTTGAAAATAATAGTATGGGAGAAAGCAAGGGAAAGTGAAAGCGATTGCGAATAATAATGGTAAAATAATTACAAAAATGACTTGAGTAGATCCAGATATTCAAATCAGAACCAAAATAGATAAAAAATTTTGATATACATAAAATTAAAATAATGATATATAAAATTTACACTTTATTTTGTCCGACAAAAAAGTGAATTTACTTTAATTTTAAATGTTATACAGAAAAATTTTAGGTGGAATAAATTTGTTTTATAGTTATTTTTGTAGCATTGTATATAAACTAAATGAATTTAAAAAAAAGTTCCATATTCAATAATCATTTAACAGATTTTTCGATAAAATAATGTAGCATGAGCACTTTTGCACTTTATTTTGTCCGATAGTGTATATTTTTGAAAGGCGCTGTACGTTAAAATTATTGTGTAGTGCTGGTAAAATATTTAAAAATTAGTATTGATTTTCAACTCAAATAAAAAATTCAAGGATATAAAATTTAGGACTTCTTTAACCCACTTTACACCATTTTTTTATTTTTACAAGATTAATTAATTATTAATTAATACATAATTACAAGATTAACATGTCACCTATTCACCAAGCTTTAAGATTAGTTAATATTTAATATTTTATTTTTATATTTTTGTGAGAAGAAACCATTGTTAAAACGTTGCGAGGAAGACCGTAAAATATAAAATTTTCCCTCTTTCTTTATTAATAATTAAGAAGTTAGAGTGCTGTATTCGGCTGAGCCGAATCTTAAATACCCTCCACCAGCTACTTTTATATTAATACTTTTTTAATTGATCAAATATTTGTAGAAATAAGTTTTTTTATGTCTTAAATAGAAAAAACCCAAGATTTAAACAGCTTAAATCTGTTACAATTGCAAGATTATGGATTGATCGTAAAAAAATCTTTAGGTAACATTTCTGTATATAAAAACTATATTTCAGTCAAATTTTGTATCTATATAGCGTAATTTAGTAATAAGTGATTTTCGAAAGGGAACCTTTTATGGGACCGATTGCACCCATATTATGAACCGATCGTGAAAAAATCTTAAAATATAAGTTTTGTATACAAAACTAATATTTGTGCAAAATTTTGTATCAATAGCTTTATTTGGTAATGAGTAATGTGCTTTTAAGAGGACTTTGTATGGGAGCTATGACCAATTATGGTCCGATTGTAAAAAATTCTACAGTAACATTAATGTATATAAAGACAAAATTTTGGCAAAATTCTGTACCTATATCATTATTTGGTAATGAATATTGTGCATTCAAGTGATTTTCTGGAGGTGACATTGTATGGGAGCTATGACCAAATATGGACCGATCGTGAAAAAAATTTTATAGTGTGATTTATGTATATAAGAGCAATATATGTGCTAAATGTAATATTTAGTAATGAGTTATGTCCGTTTAAGTGATTTTCGGAAGGGAACCTTGTATGGGAGCTTTGACCAAATATGAACCGATCATGAAAAAAATTTTGAAATAACATTTCTGTATACAAAAATAGTATTTATGACAATTTCTTATGGATATAACTATTTGGTAATGAGTTTTATGCCTTTAAGTGTTTTTCTGAAGGAGACCTTGTATGGGAGCTATGACCAACAGAAAAAACCGAGGAACGATCGGAAAAACATTTCACAGTAACATTTCTGTATATAAGGGCAATACTCGCACCAAATTTTATATGGATATCTTAATTTAGTAATGAGTTATGTGCGTTTAAGTGATTTTCGGGAGGGGATCTTGTATGGGAAATATGTTCAATTATGGAGCGATCCAGAAAATTGTTTCTCTAAATGAATTATATTTTTTGTGAAGATATAAAGATTCTGAAGGAAGTTAATAACAATAAACTCATTTTCCGAGAATATGTACATTTGTATGAGAGGTATGAGAAATTGTGGACCGATTCGCCAATTTTCAACAGGAATAAAGTTTTCGTGCAAAAAACGGGCTCAGAATTTTTTAAGGACGAAGAATATTTATACTTTGTTGGGTCTCAGATGAATATTTCTTGGTGTTACACACGGAATGACAAAGTTATGTATACCCTCTATCATCACTCATGGTGGTGGAGGGTATAAAAAAAATTTACCGTATTGTTATAAACTAATGTTATAGCTGAGTTAATATTTCAGAAAATACACTGATAATAAAAAATGTGTTGATACAAATATAAAATACATACCGCTATACTTAAACTTTGCTGTGTAGCGTTTCTATATTTTTCCCATTTTGCCATAACATCTGCAATTTTTTCCTCGAAAAGTAAACTTCTTTCAGTGTTTCCAACAACTTCATAAATGGCATATCCCATAGAATTTTCTTGAAGTCCAATTTTTTTCTTAATTAGTTCCATAACTTCGAAAGCCGTAGAGCTAGGATGAAATTCAATTGAGTAAAACTGCCCGTCCATAAAATGAAACCTTGAGTAACATGGTCTGCGATTAACAGTGCATAAAATTTCTTCGCGACTTGGAGGCCATTGTCGTCTTCTGGTACCTTGAGTTTTAAAAAAACACTACGGAAGCGAAAAATATTTAATATATAATTTATTAATAAAAATAAATTAATTTATGAATATATAAAAATAAAGTATGTTTATTTGTAGATTTATTTTAAATGGAAACAAAAACAAAAATATGTTTTTTTTTCTGCAGAATTATAGAGAGCTAACTAAAAATTGCCATATAGCTTCTCCTTACCATAATTAAAAGGTATAAAAAGTCACCATAAATATCATGTGCGTTGGCGGTTAAAGGTCACAAAAATCTGCTTTTTTACGAATATCTCACTTATTATGACTCGTACGCGTTTTGATGCTATTATAGGTAGATCTATAGAAAATTAAATTTCCTATATTTTAGTTAAATATTATTGCATACCCTTAGCTGTTTTCGAGCTACAGTGTATTTTTTGTTCATTGCAATAATTTTTTCAAATCTCAATAATTTTAATGCCGATACAGATGTCACAATTTTTATACCCTACACCACTTTAGTGCGGAGGGTATATTGGGTTTGTGCTGATGTTTGTAACATACAAAAATATTCGTCCTATACCCACCTTAGAGTATACCAATCGGCTTAGAATCGTTTTTTGAGTCGATTTAGCTATGTCCGTCCGTCTGGCTGGCTGTCCATGTAAACCTTGTGCGCAAGGTACAGGTCGCAATTTTCAAAATAATTTGATGAAATTTGGCACACACTATTTTTTTGACCCAAGGACGAAGCCCATTGAAAATGGTTAATCGGTCCATTATTTCACCTAGCCCCCATACAACAGAACCCCCCGAAAAGGGCTTCTGAGCTCATAATTATGTTAAATATACATGTATATCGATAAAAATACAACTAACGCACAACTAAGTTTTATACAAGCCTTGATGACCTTGCCAAATATCATAAAGATCGGGCCTCATTTGACCCTAGCTCCCATACAAAGTCCCCTTCCGAAAATTACTTGAATGTCCAAAATAAACTTATAAACACAAATATCGCGATGAAATTCAGCACAAATAAATATTAAATAAATATTTATATTAACAAAACTTTATCGGGCTAGGTCCATATTTGCCCCTAGCCCCCATATAAAGCCTCTTTCAGAAAATTAGTTTTCCATCCATAAATTGCTTAAATGTATCTGAACAATGAATTATTATGAAAAATAAATCACATTTAATATTCATAACTGGTGTAGGGTATTATATGGTCGGTCACGCCCGACTATACTTTCTTACTTGTTATTTCTAATTTTAGCTAGAAATGCATAATTAATTTATTTTCATCGCTTATCACTGCAACTTTTCTGACCCATAGTGCAATGTTCACACACATCACAATTATGAATATAATTTGAAAAAAATTCTGGACATACAAAGTCGGATGACTATTAATTTACTTTTAATTTCATTTAAATCAGACTACGGCTTCAACTAGCTCCAACATTATTGCACAACATCTCAGCAAAAACATGGTAATGGCATGTACTTACTCGGGGCATGTTACCTTGATAAAATACCTCATCTTGGTGTTATTGCAATACCGGAAAAAAGAGGTGCTACCAGTACCTCTAGCCTGGAGGGAATATAAACTGGGGTGATGATAAAATGTATCCTCAGACTTATCTTGGATTGATATGACATGAGGTCGAATCAGAAAGTCACATAATCTGGTATCACGAGAACCGGTAGCCCGCAGGGCAGAGTTTCGGACTTTATCTTGTCCGGTTTCTGTTAAAGGGGGACCACACGCAATTAAATAAAATGTGCAAACAAAATCACAAAGCCGAAAATAAAGTAGTTCTATATCAGATTATAAGAAAGTCATTACTAGAGTACTTCTAAGTAATGCAGACGGTAAGCAGTAGACATTGAAAAGTAAGTGCTTATGGAAGTACCATTACCGAGTTTTTGCTGGGTATGTATGTATACATATATGTTTGTTTTGACTGTTTTTTTCATTGAGAACATAATCTTATGACTACACTTTAGTAGATACTAGGGTGATCGATTATTCGACATTTTCCAAAAACCGGTTTTCGAATAGTTGACATTTGAAAAAAACCGGTTGACATTTTTCAAATCCAGAAAAAACCGGTTAACCGGTTTTTCATTATAAATAACAAAATCTATTTTAATTTGAAAAAATAGACGTTTATGTTTAAATTTAATTAATAAAACAGGACTTAACTGTTTTTTAACAGTTTAAAAGATTATAACTTTAGATCAGCCAAGCGCAGAAAGAGAGATGCTAAGAAACTGTTATTGTAGTGGTGAGAAAATACTAAAAAACACTTAGACTTAATTACGCTTGTTATGATCAAATTTCATAACAAGTAGAATGGTAAATTTTACAGATAAAACATATTCAAAGAAAAGAAAAATGTATATCTCTTCACAAAGATAAAGTTTTTTATTTATAATGTGTAAAAAAAGTATTTAAAATACTGTTTTTATGTGTTTTCATTCTTATGCATTAGTGAAATTTTTTGGAGTGTACGAGTTTTTGCAAGTAATTCTTTTGTTTACAAAATGTGTTGTTGTTTTTACAAATTGTTTTTGCAATTTTTGAAACAAAGCGACGTCAACCTACATTGTTGAATGCTGTTAGGCAACTGAAGATAATTTTTTGTATTTTTACGCTCTTGCTGTGAGTTTTGTTTTCGATCGGGTAGTGTACGTGTGAATTGCCGAAAATCTTCGTAATTTGAACAATATGAACGCGCAACGCTGCTTTAGATCTAGTCGTCTGATTTACTTTATTTCTTTAATGTAAAAAATGGAAAAAAAGTGGAACACTTCTGTTGAACATAAGGAACTATGTAATTCTAGCTTATTCTAAAATCCCTATTTAGACAATTTTCATAGTCCATAATATTTGAGCCGCAAATTTATTATTGTAATTGAAATATAATCTTAAGATTGATAAAATTTTATCAAACTGTTATTCCAATAAACTATACAAATAAAAATTTTTAATTAATTAGGAAAATCAAAAAAGTTTAACCAAAGGTGCATTAGAAAAATATACTCTAGTTCCTGGACTCCAATATTTTTAATATATAGACGGGCTGTATTTTTATTTACTTCAAAATTTAACTTAAGTAATCTTTGAATACAAAGCAAATTAAAAGTATTCGAAACCGGTTTTTAAAAAGTAGAAAAACCGGGTTGTTCGATATTCGAAAAATCAACATTTATAAAAAACCGACACTGGTATAACAGAAAAAACCGGTTGAAAATCCGAGTCGATCACCCTAGTAGATACAATATACAACTTGATTGTGGATTGAACAAATATGAATACTAGGGTTGTCATTCGAATAAAAATTATTCGATTAATCGAGGAAAAAAAATGTTTTTCTTCGAACGAGTAAAAAATTTCCAATTTAGAATTAAGAATAATTAAAAAAATTTTGTCGATTATTCGAATATACGAATATTAATGTTGCTTTTTACGAATATTTTATTATAGTATTAAACAAAGAATTATTTTAATATTTTGTAAAACAAACACTAAATTTAAAAATCTGTTATAATTGAAACAAAACTTTGACTGTTTTTCCCTATTTATAAAGTTTTTTATATTGCGATATTCATGTTAAAAATAAATTGCTTCTAGTTATAAAAGTGATTGTTTGCATTTGTTTTTAAAATGTTTGCAATAAGTGAAATAGATAATCATTAATTAATTTGGTTCTTTAACTCTTACATTTAGGTTAAATTTTATTGCCCATATTTACCCCATATTCCCTGATTTTTTAAACACAAGTTGCGTTTTACCAAAATAGACATAGTTTTATAATACATTAATAAATAGTACGGTTCTGTAGAATCATCCGCAAACTTGGAAAACGGTGCAAAACTAAAACAAGTAAAAAAGATAGTCGGGCGTGACCGACCATATGATACCCTACACCAGTTATGAATATTAAATGTGATTTATTTTACATAATAGTTCATTGTTCAGATACATTTAAGCAATTTATGGAAGAAAAACTAATTTTCTGAAAGTTTTTATATGGGGGCTACGGGCAAATATGGACATAGCCCGACAAAGTTTCGTAAATATAAATATTTATATAATATTTATTTGTGCTGAATTTCATCGCGATATTTGTGTTTATAAGTTTATTTTGGACATTCAAGTAATTTTCGGAAGGGGACTTTGTATGGGAGCTAGGGTCAAATGAGGCCCGATCTTTATGAAATTTGGCGAGGTCGTCAAGGCTTTTATAAAACTTAGTTGTGCCGCTTTTTATCGATATACAGATATATTTAACATAATTATGAGCTCAGAAGCCCTTTACGGGGGGTTCTGTTGTATGGGGGCAAGGTGAAATAATGGACCGATTTTAACCATTTTCAATAGGCTTCGTCCTTGGGTCAAAAAAGAGTGTGCCAAATTTCATCTAATTATCTTGAAAATTGCGACCTGTACATTGCGCACAAGGTTTACTTGGACAGCCAGCCTGACGGACGGACATAGCTAAATCGACTCAGAAAACGATTCTAAGCGATTGGTATACTTTAAGGTTGGTATAGGACGAATATTTTTGTGTGTTACAAACATCAGCACAAACCCAATATACCCTCCCCTCTACAGGGGTGTAGGGTATAATTAGGTTAGCTGATAACATGCACATATTCATATTTCCCCATGTTTGTTAAACATCGTATATATCATTATCAGGGAAAGGATTTCTATGCAAATGCATGTTTGTAGTCATTGAATAAAATTAACTTTTAACTATTTTTCATTTGTAATCAAAGAATTCGCTATGAAATGGCGTCGATTTGATTGCTGATATTTCAGCTTGTAAGTTAGTAGAATCATCTTAAATCAAAACAAGTAGGAAAGTATAGTCGGGCATGGCCGACCATATGATACCCTACACCACAGAGTATGTTAAAAATGTGGATTATATTTAATAACAAAGCATTTAAGTTGTTTACCTTAATTCCGAAATATTTTAACAATTTTTTGAAAAAAGTGATTTTCTAAAAGAGGGGTTATATGG